GAGAAGCTGATGATCAGAGCTACAATCAGCTCCAGGTCTTGTTTTTGCTGACTGTATAGAGCTTCTCCATCTTTGGCTGCAGAGAATATAGTCAATCTGATTTTGATGTTGCCCATCTGGTGATTTCCATGTGTAGAGTTGCCTCTTGTGTTGTTGGAAAAGGGTGTTTGTGATGACCAGCTTGTTCTCTTGACAGAACTCTATTAGCCTTTGCCCTGCTTCGTTTTGAACTCCAAGGCCAAACTTCCCTGTTGTTCCTTTTATCTTTTGACTCCCTACCTTAGCATTCCAGTCCCCCAGGATGAGAAGAACATCCTTCTTCGGTGTCAGTTCTAGAAGGTGTTGTAAATCTTCATAAAATTGTTCAATTTCAGTCTCCTCAGCAATGGAGGTTGGTGCATAAACTTGGATTATTGTGATGTTGAAAGGTCTGCCTTGGATATGTATTGACATCATTCTATCATTTTTGAGATTATATCCCATTACGGCTTTTCCCACTCTTTTGTTGACTATGAGGGCTACTCCATTCCTTCTACGGGATTCTTGCCCACAATAGTAGACATGATAATCATCTGAGTTGAAATCACCCATTCCCATCCATTTTAGTTCACTGATGCCCAGAATGTCGATGTTTATTCTTGCCATCTCCTGTTTGACCACCTCCAGCTTCCCGAGGTTCATAGATCTTACATTCCAGGTTCCTATGCAGTATTTTTCTTTCCAGCATCGGACTTTCCTTTCACTTCCAGGCACGTCCACAGCTGAGCGTCCTTTCGGCTTTGGCCCATCCACTTCATCAGCTCTGGAGCTACTTGTACTTGTCCTCCGCTCTTCCTCAGTAGCATGTTGGACGCCTTTTGACCTGAGGGTCCCATCTTCCAGCGTCATATCTTTTAGCCTTTTGTTTCTGATCATGGGGCATTCTTGGCAAAGATACTGGAGTGGAATTGCCGGTTCCTACCCCAGGTGGATTGCGTTTAGTCAGAACTCTCCACTATGACCTGTCTGTCTTGGGTGGCCCTGCATGGCATAGCCCATAGCTTCTCAGAGTTACTCAAGCCCCCTCGCCACAACAAGGCAGCAATCCAATGTTTATAAAATCCAATGTTTATAAAATCCATTTGTTGCTTTATGGTTTCAAATTTACCTTGATATCTTTTCTAGTTCCATGTTCCAATTGTCTGTTGCTGTACAGGATCTGACTTTCCTTTCACTTTTGTACACATCAGCCACTTGATATAGTTTCGGCTTTAATCTAGTTGCATCATTAATGCCAGTGCTATTCAAACTTGTTCTTTGCTGTTTCCCATTAGCAAAGTGCTTTCTAACCTGAAAGTCTCATCTTCCAACACTGTCTTTTGTTTCACTTTGGACTGGCTCATCGTAAGGTTTTCATGGTAAGGAAAGCTCACTAGTGGCTTACCACTGCCACCTTCTGTGCAGTACTAATGAAGGTTAGCTTAGTGTCACTGCTGTTATCTCCTCTGCCAGTGTTACCTTCAGCAACCAGTTCTTCCCTGTAGCTGCTGCCCTCATCACTACTGGAACTATTCATTCATTTCTGCTGAGACAGCTGCTCCCCTTGAAAAGGGTGGATATATCTTTGTCTTGTATCTCAGCTATGACCATTCTGCTCACTTGTAATGGAGTCTGGCCTCCTGATGGAGTTCTTAGTTTCACTGACACACTCAAACCCCTTCATCATGTGTGCATACAGTGTATGCATATGTGTCTAAAAAGGTGTGCACCCACCCCCACTGTAGGTGGTGATAATGGGGCCTTTGGCTCTGCTTCACCACTAAGCACCACAAGAAGAAAGAAAGAAAGAAAGAAAGACGAAGAAGAGCAGTAGCAGCAATTTTTAAACTAAGTCTTATTGCTAAAGGAAGGAATTAGTTCGGGGGAAGAACGGTTTACCCTTTATTGTCAAGTTGTGCTCCTCCAAATTACTCTGAGAGTACAACTACATTTGGGAACTTTTAATAATATAGCTGGCTGGATAGCTCAGTGAATTAGAGTACTTGGCTGCAGAGCCAGGGTTCAAGAGTTAGATTGAAAGAGGATTATATAACATAAAGTGATTGTGTGTGAGTGTTGACCCTTCCCTTCTCCTCCATATTTCTTCTTTTATCACAAAAGAATGCAGGTGATATCCCAAAACCTGCTTGTAGCATACATATTCCAAGTCACATACAGTAATTACCTGACAAAGTAGGTATGTTTACCTAAAAATGTAATGCTTAAAAAGTGCTATCTTAGATAGGACTCTGACAGGAGGCAGCTTGTGCAGGACTAGTCCTATAATAAGGTGAGGTAACCAGGAGAAGCTGTGAAACAAGCATACTCCCTGGTCCAACAGCCACCAGGATACTGGTGCCACTGATTCATCCTCATTGTCAGTGCCTCCTCATACTGGCATGGCCATTCCTGCTTCCAGCATGAACCTGGCTGCTCATTCTGTGGACCAGAAAAATGGCTCCCTTTTTTTTCCTTATGGACAGTAGCTGCAGAGCAGTCATTTTGGGTTTAAGAGGAGGAAAAGCTACCTGTTATGTCAAGGAAAGAAAGGCTGGAACTGCACATGAGTTCCTGCAGCACCCTTACTGCTGGGGCTGGTGGCTTGTGAGTCACAAGCATTTGGGGCTGCGCCTTTCAGGAGAACCATGACAATAATTTTACCAGGCCTACCTTCCTGCAGAGACCCATATTCACTCTTTATGACTTGCTAGCTAGGGAAAAGTTGGCTGAAGTAACCATCTTTGCTGCTTAGAAAGAAGTCAGCTTAAGCCCGTGTTCCCTGCTAAGTCAGGCTCTGTTTCTGTGCCTCACATTCCACTTTCTTCACTCTAGGCCATCTCCAGCCTCCTCAATCCCATTGTAATATGTGTAAAATTATTGGTTCCCAAATGTTTAGGCATTACAACCATTTTGTGAATTTTGGGAGATTCTCATATTCTCTATCATTACCATCATCCAACCCTCTTTAAAAAAATTAAATAAACACAAACATTTAACAAAACATATTTTAAAATAAGTGCAGATTTTTTTCCACAAAATGTTAACAAAATTGTAATTTACCTGAAGAAATACCAGAATTTCAACAAATTTAATATGAAGGATGATGAAGATCTACCAGTCTCATTTCTTTCACCCCTGAAATTTCTTTATGACTACTGGGGAGCACATAGCACATTTTGGGTACACATACAAAATTCTGGACTTAACTTCAGCACAAATTCACAAGAAGCTTTTCTATAGTAAACTGTTAAGAACCAGAGTTCCAAAGAACACAGTTTGAACATCATTGATGTAGAGGTCATATCTTCCAATGTGTATTCCTAGTTTTCTAATGTTATTTAATATAATTTAAATTGGCTTCAACAATACTTCATATTCCTTTCTCTTTCATCCACTTATAATCAAGTTGCAGAAAGGACAGACTATCATCTGTACCTGGTGGTGCAACCATCCGCTGCCATTTTTGAAATAAACATGTCTTCAGGCAATCACGAGGACTTAAATTGTAAGTTTTATGCCTTGACATCAATTCTTGCATTGGCTCCAATATTACACACAACTGCAAAAGAAAGAACACACAGAAGCAGATCTAAGATGAGTAGTATTCCTCAAAAAGCATGCTTCTAGTCTGAACTGAAATTCATTTTATTTCCCTAATCTCTTCTTTCCCCTTTTTCTATGCATACACATTTCAGTTAATGATGCTGTAGAGCAGTGCCTCCCAGTCTGGGGATTGTGACTACAGTCACAAAGTGTTGGTGGTGGGGGGGTTTACAGGTTATCTTATATGCACTGTAGCCCTTGTCAACCTTTTCTTTGACATACTATCATTTTCTCATCCCCATTTAGTATATGAGTCACTGTTTCTTTTCTTTACCTTTTGCCACACACATACCTAAAGTTTTTTTTGCTGCTTTTAGTGTCTCTGGCTAGCTTCAGCTCATTCTCAGCTTTTGCCCTCCTAATGACATCCCTGCAATTTCATGCTACTTGTCTGTACTCTTCTTTTGTAGCCTGGCTTTCCTTCTACTTGTGCCCTTTTTTGTTTTCAGGTTCTCTCTGAGCTTCTTGTGAAGCCATACTGGGATTTTTTGGGACCATTGGAACTGCCTGTCCTACTTGTACATCCCAGGCTGGACAGCTGGGGGCATTAATGCCAAGGGAAGCCTGGAGGGAGAGAACAAGGAATTGGGTTTTCAATGTATTCATGAAGGCTATGGAGCAGTCTCCATCTGGCACCCTCTCTGGGTGTTTTTAAAAGCCATTTAAAAACTTGGCTCTTTAGGAAGGCCTTCCCTCCAGTCAATAACTGACTTTTATTCTTTGTTTTTATATTATTTCATCTTGGCAATGATCTAAAGTAAGTGTTAAAATTAGGATGTTTTAAATGATTTTTATGGTATTTGTTATATTATGATGTTTTATCATGTGTGTAAGCTGCCCTGAGTAGACTTTGTCTAGGGGCCTTTCCTCATATTGCTTGGTTTCCAGGTCCATGATCATTCTTATTGCCCTCCTCTAGACTTGCTCCAGTGTGTTGGTATCCTTCTTAAACTGTGGTGTCCAGAACTAGATACATGAGGCCTAACCATTGCTGAATAGAAGGGAATTAGCACCTCACAGAATTTAGAGACTATACTTCTGTTAACACAGTCTAAACTCACATCTGCCTTTTTTGTAGTCACATTGCACTGTTGGCTCATACTCAGATTGTGATCTACAACAATTCCAAGATCCAAGCAAAGCAAAGCAACCTTTATTGGCATAAAACAATTAAAACATACAATCCGATAATAAATTAAAGTAGTAGGAGAAGTTAGGTTAGTTTTTTTGAGGTTTGAAGAGTGAGCACCTTAGCGAGGAACTCAGCTACTGGAGTCATAGTTTCCAGAGAAAAGTCATGGAGGAGGAAACCTGTCAGAAGCTGGGGGGACCAGAGAAGCCTGAGATGATTGGACCTAGAATTCGGTCTCGGAGATCTCTAAACTTGGGGCAGTGACACAGAATATGCGAAACTGAATCGGGTTCTAATCCGCAGAGGTTACAAGTTCTTTTTTCGTAGGGTACTCGGGCATATCGCCCCTTGAGGACCTTGGGGGGGAAAATATTCAGCCGCGCTAGCATAAAAGCCCTCCTGGTTAGGGGGTTCAGCAGGGACTGTAAGTAAAAATGTCCAGAGCCAAAGGTAGGGAAGATACCATAGTGGATAGGAGAGCATATTTGGTTGATACTGGAGACCAGATGGATATACTCGGACTCCCATAGTTTCTCTTTAACAAGAGAGAGCGCCTGATCAAAATTGCTGTTAAAGATGGAGTTTAAAGGTATACCAATCGATTCAAGTTTGGTTTCACATAACGTAAACCACTTGGATTGATAATGGTCCTTAAGTAGATGTACTAGAAGAGAGTCTGGGTCTGTTTTAAAGAAAAGGCGGAGCCAGAATTTGAATGTGAGTGCCCACGCTACCGATGAGGGTAGATGCATGCCTAACTCTAGGGCTATAGTCGATAGTTTAATTGAAGTTGGTATCCCTAGAATCCGGCGGTAGAAAGAGGCAGCCAGTAGATCTGCTTTGTTGTCCATAGCATTTATCCAAATTGGGGCGCCATAGAGTAGGCGGTTAATCAGTTTTGCCTGAAAGATTCGGGTGACAGCTGGAACAAACTGGTTCCCGGCGTTATAATGGAATTTAGTTATCGCACCAAGAAGACATGAGGTGGATGCGATTGCAGAATCTCTATGTATGGTCCATTTGAGCTGAAAATGGAATAGTAAACCTAGATACTTAAAGGATCTCACCTGTTCAATCTGTTGACTATTGATTTTCCAATGTAAGGGCTTCCATGATTTTGAAAAGACCATAATCTTGGTTTTCTCAGCGTTAATAACAAGATCATTGCGTAAGCAGTAAGATTGAAATAGGGAGAGAAGTTGTCTTAGACCAAGACTAGATATAGAAAGGAGAGCCGCGTCGTCCGCGTATAACAGAAGAGGAACGGGTATCTTATTTAGGATCGGAGCAGACTTTTCGGCTAGCAGCAGCTGAGAGCGTAGATCTGCTAAAAAGAGGTTGAATAGGAACGGAGCTAAGATGCAACCCTGTCTCACTCCTCTGTTAATTGGGATCTTTTCCGAGATGGAGCCACTATAGTTGAAACGGACTTGGCAGAAGTTAGCGTGGTGTAATTTACGTATTAAAAAGAGAAGACGTGGGGGAATTCCCCACGCGGCTAGTTTTTCCCACAAAATGGACCTATTGACGGAGTCGAAGGCCGCTTTCAAATCAACAAAGGCCACGAACAGGTTCCCTTTAAAGTGATATACATACTTCTCTGCTAAGAACGAGAGAGTTAATGCGTGGTCCAGTGTTGAACTACCCGGGTGAAAACCGATTTGCTCTTGTCCTGGAAGATTTATAGAAACGGACCAGGAAGTGAGATGGACCAGAAGATGTTTACTATATAGCTTTCCGATGGTGGAGAGTAAACTGATCGGTCTATAGTTGCCCGGGTTAGAAGGGTCACCTTTTTTAAAAATAGGAACCAGGATAGAGGTGAGCCAATCCTCTGGAATAGAGCCATGTTCGTCTATTAGGGTGAATAAATTTGCCAGAGGATCAGCCCACCATTGGGCGTTGTTGATTAAGAGGTCATTGGAGATTCCGTCGGGGCCGGGAGACTTCCCGCGTTTCAGAGCATAAATGAGCTTTAGGACCTCATCCCTAGAGACCGGTGGCCAGAGGGGGAGCTCAGAGGGAAGATTCTTTGGCATAGGAATTGGGTCCTGGGAAGAGAATATTTTCGAATAGTAAATTGACCAATTAGAAGGGGAGATAGGCAGGGAGCTTTTATAAGAGTCTTCCGTAAGGGAGTGGGTGATGAGTGACCAGAAAAGTTTGCTGTTCTTTGATGTTATGGCCTCTAGGAGCTGGCACCATTTCCGCAAAGCAAAGTTGTGCTTCTTGGCGTCAATGAGACTGCGCCACATGTAATATTACTGAGCCAAATATCCCCCATCTTGTAACTGTGCATTTGTAGATTTCATTCTGTGTTAGATTTCATTCTGTTGTTTGAAATATTCCTTTTTTAAAAAATAACACAATTTCAGGAATATCAGTTGTTTCTTAATCTCCTCTACTTCATTATAAAGCTCTAGATACATACCCTATGGCCAGATGGATTTTTACATAAACTCACACTGCAATAAAAGTCCATTTTTAGGTTACATAAAACCAACAGCAATTACTGGAAAATGGAACTTTTTAATTAAATGCATTTGAAGGAAGGAGGGATTAAAGTAGGAGAGTAGTTGATGCTTAGAGCCATGGATCATCCCCTACTGAATCTGCATTTTGCTTTTTATCAGTGGTCCTTTTGGTTAGTGATGTGCTTTGGATCTAAATACTGTAAATCCTTAACCAAAATTAAGTGGATTCACTGAATTAGAATCTGAACACACACTAAGCTTTTTAACTGTCTGGTTTTATAGGAGAACAGAAATGTTTGGGCAGTTCCTGTACTTTTGAGACTGGAGAGAGTTTTAAATGATGGATTGGAGTAAAGCAAGTCAATTGAAACCCATTTGAGTAGCTTTACCTTGTTTTCTTTTAGATATTGTAATTCATATACAAATTCAGTAAATAAATTAATTAACAACAATGCATAAATGCCAATATGTCCATTGATGACTACTAATTAAGTCAATACTACATCTTTGGGGTTATTCCCCCCATGATAGGTGCTTGCTGCTGGCATTGGTCAATGTTTTCCATCTGTTTTTGTCCTCTCCTTAGATGCCAAAATTTTGTGCTGTAATAGAAATCAACCTGATTCTAAATGGCTTTTAATATTTTATTGTACTATATTTTAATGGAGTATATTATATTGTTTATACCGTTTTCTATTGTTTTATCCGATGTATGTTGGCCTGTGTGCCATGCAATAAACGTATTTTGCTTGCTTGCTTGACTACTAAGCATGATGATTTTATATTACAACACATGGTTGTCTGATTTTCTCTTGAATATCTCCATTTAAGCCCATTCAATTTAAACCAGGAGTCTCAAACTCAATTTACTTGGGGGCCGCTGGAGGCAGAGTCTGAGTGAGGCTGGGCCGCATCAGATTTTCCGCCAAGCAGAGCAAGAGCCCGAGGAAGCCATGTGGAAGTTTCCTTAGCCCATGCGAATCCTCATCGCCCAGCCATGACCCCCTCCGGCTCCTTCTTCACCACCACCATGGCCAGCAGCAGTAGGACAAAGAAGCGGAGAAGGGAGGGAGCGCCGGCAACCGCTTAGCCAGGGGGAGGAGGGCATGACATAAAATTTTAAAAAACCCTCACAGAACTTGCCTTGTCAAAGGAGAAAAGCCCCCACCAGTACCCACGAAATTAAGCAGAACAGGGCAGGGGCCCCCACAGGTGCATGAATGCGCATGCATGCACACAAACACACACGCACGCATGCACGTGCACGCACACACACACACGGAGGTCTGGCAACCTTCCTCTGAGCCCCACCTCAAAAAAGGCACCCTCAGCAGCAGTAGATACCCCCAT